TATGCATAATAATGAAATTATTTTATATGTAAGGTTACTATCAGTTGTGTGCCCAAAGGTTGAACAGATGTGAAGATCACACTAACAAACGAATGGTATTTATTCAGGAAACGGGTGAGCAGTTGAATGAGACAATAGCCTCACACAGACTCGACATCGATGTTCTACTGACACGGATTAATACCATGTCGACCACCATGGTCAATAATCTAATTGTGATTGATGAATACGCCGCTATGCGTGACGTGTTTTTAAATTCCAAGAATATAAATCTATATAATTATGTTCAAACGAGAATAGATGATCTCGTTGAAACTTTATGAAAAGTTGTATTAACATAAATTCATTTCTAAATTTTGTTGCAATATATTAAAAATGTATTAAATAATCAAACATTATAAAAATAAAATGTGTTATAACTTATAAGTTATAACTTTAAAAATTATTAAATTTTTATAATATGATAGACGAAACAATTTCCGGTTCACTACAACTGATAGTAACCTTACATATAAAATAATTTCATTATTATGCATAATTAAGCAAATACAAAATGCAATAAACAACTCCATACCATAATGAAATAATAAATAATAATCTCTGTTACCATACCTTCAGACAATATACAAAGAAATGCAATAAAATATGATAAAAACATTTCAATGTCTGACATTTTATGCTATGATAAATAAATAAATTATATAATTTACAAAAACCATAATTAATTATATGAAGACATGGCTACCGGAGGTCCGATTACTGATATAGTTAGTGATGGTGAAAATCCTACCGACAATAATATACCCCGAGTAATTGATCAGTCAATATTGGCTCAGTTGACTGATGAGAACAAAATTGGCAAGGGCACTTATGCTATTGTTTATAAGATCAAGGTAGACTCAAACGAATACGCCTTTAAAGTAATTGATAAGGTAAATAATTTTAACAAATATACTATTAGCAAAAAATGTAATCCAGATGATTTTTTCTGGTCATGACTAACCATGGTGAATTTGTGGTTCACAGATAGCAAGGGCTACAATCAGCCGGTTTGCCGACTCTCCGGAACCGGTAAAACTGAGTGCCGATGAAAATAAAGGTAGTTTATTAACGCATTTCTTAATTACCATTATATTTTATTGAAATAAAAACTCATTATTATAAATAAATATTATTACCATGATTGAAAAATTTAATAAATATAGAGAAAGAGGCTCGCATTGTGCAGCAGATGCTGGCACTGCAGACCCTCCATAAGTTGGACAATAAAAACTTGGTTAAATGCGTAAAATCATGGCTGACCGAGGCGAACATGTGCATTCAGATGGAGCTGTGCCAGTGCACTTTGCCACCACTGTTGGCCAGCAAACTGACCCTGTTCGGTCGGGTCAACCATATGGCGCCCCGCAATACCTACCCGTACAGCGAGATCTGTGACCTTGAGTATTTCATTTGCGCCCATATGTGTGAGGAAATTGTGCGAGGGCTAAATTATTTGCACAGTCAGAGTCCACCCATATTTCACCGTGATATAAAGCACGCCAATATGTACATGGCCATTTTGCCTGATGGTGAGGCTGTGTTAAAGGTTGGCGACTATGCCTTAGCGCCGTTGCAAGAGTGCACCGCACAGACCAATACCAAAGGTGTGGGCATTTATACTTACTTAGCGCCTGAGATTTGTACGCCCCCTGGGGTTACAGCCAAGTATACACCGCCGTCCGATTTGTACAGTATGGGTATGATTATACCTGAACTGTTTAATTTTAACTAGTAAGTTTATTGGTTTTGTTTCTCTCTCCACTTATTCATTTAAAGTTATATAAACTAATTCTATAATATGACATTGGTCATTTTTTGCGTTTAAAATGTGTAGTACCATAAAGCAAGAGAGCAAACGTATGGAGTATTTACAGGACACAATGGTTGGCCTGATTGAGACCAAAATGCCAAATAGGACCAAGATGAATGTATTACTAAAACAAATCGAGGGCTTTTTCAAACTGGTGGACACGCAGACAATTTTGTCACAATATGCTGAATATAACGACCGACTTATGGCGACTGGAAATGAAAATTTCTATTCATATGTTTCGTCAAAAATTGCAAAATTATCAGAAACTTTGTAAATTATTTTACTACAAGTTTTTATTAATTTTTATTAAAATTTTTATATAATTTGTAACAAATAAAACTTTTAACATTGAAAATCTAGCTATAAATTAAATAATCTATATTATTTTAAAAGTGTATTATAATATTGTGTGTATAAAAACATAAGTTGATTATTTTATTAACAGGTGCTTTAATTATACATTTACATTATCATGTATATTTAACAATATTATGTTTTTATAATATTGTTATAAATCGGGATGTTTTGGGACTATAATACTAACCAAATAAGGTAAAACAGTTTGAAATCACAGTAATTCATTTATCGTTGCAAACACTCAGGAAGAGTATTTTAAATTACATTTAATTAGCAAAATAACTGCCGATTACACCATTAAATATAATACTTTTCAAGAGTTTCAAACCCCTCTAAGTCTTAATCCCAGTCACACTTAAGATTAATTATATTAATTGCCTAAACAGTAGTGAAATTTTATTCATTTATTGCACAATACATTTAACACCTTTTAATTCAATTGCAAAATTACTTTAAAAATTAATTAATTAATTGTTAAAAATAAATATAATAAATATAGTGTTAAATAAAATGTAAAATTAATATACTTGGAAAATTTACTAATGTTAATCATAACGGTCGATTTTTTAAATGATAATTTTTATTATAATCTCAATTACTAGGAATTATGACTTACATGAAATGCAACGACACTTTAATTTAATTAAATAAATTATATAATAATGTACAACATTATTGAACATGCAGTGCACATATTCCCGCAATAGTTATCGCATGGTTATTTATTTAATGATAAAGCTAATACCACAAATCAGTTACCTATAGAAACAGTTATAATTTATATACATCGGGCACATTGAAGTGCACTACCATAATATGTATGCAATAACTTATTACAATTAGGCGACAATAATTTGTATTTAAGATCTTAATTAAATAAAGTTGCATCAGGAAGTGGTGACAGGATGAATTGCAAGCGTATTTAATCGCGCACATTTATATTCAATTATAATTCCGGTTGCAATAATAGACTTATAATTTTAGTAAATAAGTAAACATTTTCTTATAAACAAAAAATAAATATAATTTTATGGATTTCTTTTAATTAAACAATTTATTGCATTATTTTCAAGTGTCTAAATGTAATACTTGAGTAAAATTAATAAGAAACGTGATAAGAAAATAGTACATGATTGTGATATATGGCTTTATTGCTACTTATAAATATAACGATTATAAATTTATTTCCACACATTTATAACAATTAAATATTGGCGATTAAAACGCTATTAGAAAACAACATAAAACTAGTAAAACATTATTATTTACCATTCATTTAACAAAAAACAAACTCATTGTGAGCGACATGAAGATGAGTGAGAGCACCGATACTGGCGGTACAAATGTCTTATTAGATCCAATGATTCTGGATCAATTATGCGATGATAATGAAATTGGCCAAGGTACTTTCGGCACCGTATATCAAATACACACATTAACTGACATCGGGGTAAAAGCGTGCGCTCTTAAAGTCCTATCAAAGGTAACGTATTGTTTAGTTTTATTTGATTTAAAATTAAAATTAATAAATTAAAAATTATTAAAAATTAACATGTTCAATTCAATTAATTTATTATAAAGGTTGCTATAGAAGAGTTATACGACAAATATGATACTGAATTAGATTTCCATACAATAAAACACGAGTTAGAAATCATCAAACGCCTCGATAATACACACGTGATTAAATACATGGCCACGTGTTTCACGGGTCACCACATATATATCCAGATGGAGTTGTGCCGGTGCGACCTCCAGGAGCTCATAGAGGCTAAGCACAGGATATTTGAGACGGAAGAGGAACTAGATGCGAATGATGGGCATGTTTACGTAGAACCAAATGATCTGGAGTATTTCATTAGTGTTGAAATGCTCAGGGAAGTGGCCCAAGGCTTACAGTATCTGCACGATAGGCAACCGCCGGTGTTTCACCGGGATCTGAGACCCCAGAATGTGTTTATGGTGATTGACCCTGATACAAATGCACCCGTGTTAAAGCTAGGTGACTTTTGTTTGGACAAATTGCCGGCGCTGGCCCTCAGACACCATAGGGAGCGTATGAGCGCCAGATATACGGCACCCGAAGTTAATTATATTTGCGACGAAAAGTTTGCGTTTAAACAGTCGGCTGATATTTATAGTCTAGGAATGATCGTGATTGATTTGTTTAATTTTGACTTGTAAGTATGACCTTGCTCTCTCTCTCTCTCTCTCTCTCTCTCTCTCTCTCTCTAATTAAACTTTATGTCTAACAATTGTAAGTTACCTAACAACCTAACAATCGTAAGTGTCAAAATAAGTATATTTTAGGTATTTAGATAACTTAAATAAAAGGTATACTTATTTTGACACTCATTTCTTATAATTACGGTATAGTTATTGTATATTATTTTTGTATTTTTAATCAGTTATAATCAGTTCACTTTATAATAAAACTCAATTTATTTACCACGTGTACAACAGCACAGGTAAAAGACGGTACGAGCGGCTAAAAAGCATCTGGGAACTGGCCATCGCCCTGATTGAGGTGAAAGTGGCCGTAAGGCCCACATGCAATCAGCTCATTGATAGGGTCGACGACTTGGACCCAATGGACACACAACTAGTGCTCAAACAATATACTGATTATAAGGAGGAGTTTAGAGACATTGAAAACAAACATCTCGATAAATATGTTTCCCATAAAATAGCATTATTATCGCAAAGTGTTTGTTAAAACGATATCAATTTTTATTAGGGTAGTTTTAATTAGCATGTTTTTGTTTGTTTTGGTTTCACAACACAATCATATAATTTTTATATATTATTTAAAATCTTACCTATATTGTACAAAATTATTTAACAATACATCAGTAATAAAAGTAGATTTGATATAATTTGCTAATTAGTTTATACCAAGACGTCTACTTATAAATTTTTTCTTGTAAAATGCTCAAATTGTGAACATCTAGAGTCTAGACACCCTGCTTTATACTAATAATAAATTTCTCAATAACTTATCATGTGTTCATTGGATTTGATAAATTAGATACATAAATTATATTTTAATTGTATTATTCATAATAAATAAATTTTATTGAACTCTTCATTCATTTATAAAATAAAACTTTTAATTTTACATTAAACACAATTTAAATTTAGCATTAATTTAACAAAATTTAAGAACAATGACTAATGTAAAAATCTCAGCACAATGACCATGGTAGTCATAAGGGCCATGAGAAACCAAGCGGGTGCCACACTTTGACCATAACTCTTCATAACCACATACGTAATGGTCTCTTTAACCACGTACGTATTGGTAACGTTTACTTTGCCCTGGGTAACATTAAATTTCACATGCTCGTAACCGGGGTAAATACGCGGCGGCTCTTTGTCATAGTAGGAGCACCGGGAGTCGTAGGTCACGGTATTGGGTATATACGCCACCTTGGTCTCCGAATCGACCATTATTTTAGGTGGTGGCGGGCACTTGACGTAGTGATAGGTGTGTGTATCGTAGTAGCCATAATGACCGTGTGTGCCCTGATTGCCCACCATTCGGCCCAATTTGTAGCCCCCGTAGGCGCCCACCGCTGCGCCCAACACTCCGCCCGCAACTATACGTAAGGTATAATAATATTACTTTACATTGTTATCTATACTATACTAGTATATAATAATTACCCGCAGCACCCGTACGGCCACCGCTGGACGAGCCCATCATACCGGTGCCCCGACCGCCGCCGCCCACCACTATCACCGTATTACCGGTCCCTTTAGCCATTGATGGACTATTTCCCGGATGATAGACTGTGCCACCGTGGCTGTAGTTGTTACCCGGTCTATTAGGGTATGTAGCGCCGCCAACTGTCCGGTTAGCCATGTGTGGCCCACTCGGGTGTGTGAAATTGTGTCCGCCCGGTCTATTAGGTCCGGTTGTATTAAATCCGTGTCCATTGGATCCCATATGTGTGGCATTTCTCTGTCCAACAATACCGGTGCCCGTCGTATGGGTTGTGTTTCTGTGCATTAGATTAGCGGCTCTACCGGTGTTTGTGGTGTTGACTATAATATTTAATTGTATTTAAATTAAAGCTTATTATTAAGTTTGTTTTGCAATTAAAATGAATTGATTATGAGTGAGATATTTTATGTGTTTGTTTTATGTACGTGTGTTTTAATTTTAATGTTAATTACAATTAGTTAAAAATATTTTTATATTGTTTGCTCAGGAGTTATGGTAAATAAACTGATTGTGATTACTTGGAAACTAATAACACTTTGTTTAAATAACAAAACTAAATAAAATCTCTATTATTATAGTGATTAAATTTATATTATTGGCAATAATAATTTATTGCATATTAAACTGGTCGAATTATGTTTTAAAAATAAATTGCATAATGATTTCTTAAATAATTAATTAGGCATAATCTATTTATGTTAATTAATTCATTGACTTTGATTAACACATACTGCTTTTATATTCAATAAAAATATACTACATGAATTACTAAAATTAAATATCACAGAGAGTTTAATAATTAAATACTCACAACCAGTTCCCGGTCGCACAGGCTGAGCAGAGTTATGATGCACACCAGCGCCACCAACTGTCCTATTGGGTTGACTGTAAACTCCAGCCCCACCAACTGTCCTATTGGGTTGACTGTGAACTCCAGCCCCACCAACTGGCCTTATGGGTTGACTATGAACTCCACCCGCGCCAACTGTCCTATTTGGTTGTCCACCATGATGGACAGCAGCCCCTGTATAAACTCCAGTTTGACCTGGCAGATGAGCGCCGGTGTTGGCATTATTATTAGTAGGCTTGTAGTTCGGGTTATGGGCCGGTTGCTTCGGGTACTGGCTAGCAACATGACTCGTCCCTGTCTGACCAGGTTGTTTCGGGTAAGCAGCGTTGTTGGTGTTAGTATTAGGCTTGTAGTTGGGGTTATGCGCTGGTTGTTTAGGATACGAACCGGAATGTGCCTGGTTATTATTATTATTAGTAGCAGTATTACCGGTGTGATACGTCTGCTTAGGATAGGCAGCGTTGTTGGTGTTAGTATTAGGTTTGTAGTTGGAGTTATGCGCTGGTTGTTTGGGATACAAACCGGAATGTGCCTGGTTATGATTAGTAGCACTATTACCGGTATGATAGGTCTGCTTAGGGTAGGCAGAGTTTGCAACAGTATTAGGCTTGTTGTAAGTGTAGGTCTGTTTTGGGTACGAGTTGGCGGCCGTACGAGGCTTTTGGGCGGCGGGTGCCGAATGACTACTAGAGCTCCGGCTACTACTTGAGCTCCGACTACTACTTCGGCTACTGCTGCTACTCCTACTGCCACCACTGCTCCGACCTCCGCCCCCACCCCCTCTCCGTTTGACTCGCGCACCCCTTACGACACCCATGTCTTTGCCGACCAAATTGGTACTGTTGTTGCAGTCCAGACAGTGCACTACCCCTGCCGTCAATGTGATGGTTAAACATACGACCGATAATAGATTTGAATACTTCATAGTAAACTTGATGTATACTGTAATTTAATTAAATGTTTTAATCACTAAAATAATTGCTGAAACACTCATTCAAAATGAAACGATGGCTTTTGAGTGTAATTATTATTTAATTAGTTTTTTGGATTCAGTTGTAATATAAACTGTTTTTATGATGATGTTAATAATTAAAACAAAGGTAAATTGTTATTTTGTTACATAAAAATCAGTGTTTAATCAGCTTATTATTTGCTGTAATACAATGAGGTGGTTTTTGTTACATCTCAAAAGTATTTTGAAACCAATTTTATCTGTTGTAAATGATCCTGATTGATGTACGTGATAGACTTTGATAACTTAATTAATTTTATTTAAATATTTTATTTTAAAAGCAGATGCTCTTAAAACAATCACATAAACTATCAAATTAACAACTAAATAGATCAACTATGACACAAACTATTTTCTAACTAGAAAGGTTAAATACAACACTCTGTACACATTAACACAAATAAACTTGTTATATTGAATGCCATGGTCGTTTATTTATTGATTATTATGCAACATTATGTTACGCTCACAAATGCAATACAAAAACTTTAGTTAGTAATCCAATTTAAACAATAAAATATTTATTATAATTATTTCAATCTAATTTATTAATATACATTTGTATGTAGAGTATATTTGCAGTATATGTGTAGTAAACACAACATTATTGAAAATCAATGTCTGTTTCTATGTCTAAATGCAACTAACTATTGACAAAATGCTTGTTTTTTGTAGTAATATAAAAATAAATTTACATTTATGGTATAACATCCATATATTATTATCCGCTAAACAAGACAACAAAATAAATTAAAATACATCTAAATCTAAAATACATTAAATTACAATAGATTGCTTTGTGAAGCATTTTATATATTCATTTCATAAATAATAATAAAAAACGTTTTTAAAAAATAAAAGTATAGAAAAATATTTCATAAACCTATTGCAATACCTTTTGAAAGACAACACTAATTACATCAAAAATACATTAAAAACTATTATATAATAATAAAAACTTTATTGCAAAAACACCGCGTTTGACATTTTACATAAAACTACCAAAATCTAATTATAAAATGCATAAAAACTAATTACTATTGCAACTCAAGCTCTGGACACCTTAAACACCTTGCGCTCGGCCTCCCGGTCTTCATTGCCATTCATACTGACGGTCTGTACGGGAAGTGCGATATACTTATTACGAGAACTGCCCGAACGATACCCACCGCCGCCCGTTTGGGACCCTTTGGGCACTTCGATGGCCACGTATTTGGTCTGACAATTGCAGCGACCGCTGGAACCGGTGTCGCGATCCGAGTCGCGGTCGGTCTCCTCGTCGTCGTCGTAGCCGTGGCTGTCATACGAGTGTCGGTGTCTCTTGCGATGTCTGTGTCGGCCGCGGGCCGGTCTCCGGGGGCTCGTGTTTACGTACCCTCCGATGCCAATGGGTTTGCTGTTGCGATTGTAAGGCTGAAAGTGCATCGACACGTACCCAGTGCTGGCGCTCTTGGCCTCCGCTGGACTGTCCGTAACCATCAGTGATATGATAACTGTTGCCATAAATAATGGCCGCACGACTGGCGGCAAATTCATTATGGATTTTAGTTATTATTATTATTATTAATTGTTTTATTAATATTTAGTTTCAATTTAGTTGTTGTAATATTTTTAAATACATTTCGAAACAGACTTTTTTAAACACAAAATACTTGTTTCGCATATTTTACTCGACTTTAGGCCTCATAAGAAACTCATCACTGATTATAATACTTTTAAAATGATATGTGTAATTACCATAGTGTGACATCTTTCACAACTTCCCCTCCTATTATTCTTAATGCATATACAGTGTACACAACATATACTATCAGCATTATAAAATTTAATTTATCTAAATTATATCATAATGCGTTTACATATTTAACTATTTTACACTATATTACAAACAATAAATCAATTAAGTACTGGTGTATAAGGTATTTTAATTATTTTGTAATTCCCTGTTCTTTATATTGAAGTTTGACTGTATTAACACATTTTAACACAGCATTCATACACTAATGACACAAAATAAAACACATATTTTTGTGTTCGTTATATAATGGGTTCGCAATAATACACGGATTTTATGATATATTTGCGTGACTTTTATCATATAGTTATGTAAGAAAACAATATGATTTT